ATTTTTAAAGTTGACGCATGTTAATATGATTGATTAGGTTTATTAATTACATTTAACACTAAGTACTCGAAATTCTCGGTCAGAACTTTATCTATTAGATAAGATTATACCTATGAATGAGCCTATGATTTATAAATTACCGTGACGAACTATTATTACGACATTACTGTTTATAATGCCGATATCGGCGTTGTCACATTAGTGATTAGTTCGTTGCTGGTGTAGCAATTACGAATGACCGTTGTGGGCAGGCCACCGTTCGTCGAGGTGTGACCGCTTCGTGACGTAGACGGGCGATTATTGCCTCGCGCGACCCACTGAGTTATTGACCGATGCTAATTATTTGACGGCGGCGTCTTGTAAACATAGTTTGTGACGTTTATAGTGACAACTGGTTAATTGATGTTCTTTGCCGGAATATCAATTCCTTAATTAAAATTAATCTTAAGTTTTGTATGGTTAGCGAAAAGTAAATTACCAATGTTTATATTACGTTTTGTAAAAGAAACGAAATAATTTGGAAATAACCCATATTAGTCCCCTTTCCCCAAGGAACAACGTCCGCTCCGCCTGCAGAAATAGCTCGCCCATTTCTGCGAATTCGTGATAACTTTTTTATGAGACAGAAATGAATTGTATAAAATCTTCGGTAAAAATCACATAAAGTTCTCGAGAGAATTTGCTTTGGTTTTTTCGAGAGATTTATCTACAAAATGGACTTTGATTTTCTTTATTTGTTATGAGCTCTTTATATCTCTGATTAAATTAAAATTTCATAAACAACAACTGTTTATATGTATTTTGAAACACTATTTGGTATCGTAGTTCTATTTTGCATTTTTCTACCTGTCTGCTATGATTTACTGTCGATGCAACACTTTAAAATCTATCAAAATGTAAAAAACCTTTTTGCATTGTGATGTTGAAGCGAGATTATATTACCTGGAATGTTATTAACGTTTCTAAAGTGTGAATTATCGCCCGTGTCGCGCATAACTGTTTATTGTTGTTATTTATTATATCAGCCGGTGGCGCTGTGGTCACGGCAACACGTGTAGCGGCACTATCCACTTAACATCTAATAACACCTCTCATTAATAATATACTCAATGGAATAACAACTATCTTGAATCTAATACCTGACATTGTTTTACCCTCCCTCTTGTCAGTAACAAAATTTATTTACATATTTATTAATGTAATGTAAAAATATGATGTAGTTACGTGAATTAAGATGCTTAGTAGGTACTATTTTTAGCTCTATATCTGTTTGGTTCTGGCTACACGGAATTTTCACAGAGTATATACCTGTATGACTGGCGTTATCTTAACGGATAGAAAAGATAATTAAATTAACAATTCTGAAATTGTTAGTCCAACTCGCACGACGCAGGTTGTCTTAAACCTGCCAGTTTCAATTATTTTTGTTTTGATATCGTATTAGAAATTTTCGAGATACGTATCACCGGAATGCTTGTAAGATAGGTATAAAATACATTTTATTATTCGTTCTACAAGCGAGCAGTGTCTGACGTTTCGTTCAGTTGCTGTTTCGGTAGCAAGGAATATAGCATAATGGTTATGGTAATGCCGTCCCTCGCCCATCCAGTACACCCCCGTCGGTCGACATCCCCGCCCTACCCTCTAGGTTTTTTGTCATTCATAAATGTGTCAGTAGGACCCTTGTTTATGCTACACCCTTGGTGGTCGTATGTTATCATCACCCCCGGCTAATTCAATTGTAATCTTCAAAATCGGACTACGATTCATCGATGAGCTACTAAAAAGTGGACTTCTGGAAAAGCGACATATAAATATTTAAATTATTTTAGACCTTTTTTAAAATCATCGCCATTGTTTCCCTGTTCAATTTTTAGTTTGATTTAAATAACATACTTTTAGCTACTTATTGCAGAGGTTATAAGTTAATTCTTACTAGTAATTTAAGTTAAAAAATGTTCCTGTGCAGAACATTAGCAATATCTAAAGAGATTATTGATCGATACCTCGCATCGGTGCAGATTACTACTCTTTGGATAGGCCATTAAGTTGTATATTATTTGTAAATTTCGAACACATAATGGTATGTGTAATTTATTTTTTACTAATATAATGTATTTTTTAAACATTATTTAAAAATAGCATTCTCCACTCGTTCTTCCTATAAACTTTAACTGCGCCATATTTCATCCTTTTTCTAAAAACTAGTCTATAAAGAAAAAAGATTTGATGATCCGTTTCCATCCAATGGGTTCCGGTACTACTGAAGCCATTTTAAAATATCACCTACTGGCAACTACATCATATGCGGCACGCGGGTGACATAGGCTATAATTTACGCAAGCAAAGTCGCGGAAAACAGGAGTTTATATTGATTCAGAACCAATTTCACTTGCAGCTAATTAATAGAAAATAAAGAAATCCCTCGAAAAGGTCGACAGCAAAGCTAGTCAACTGTATGATGACTTCAATTAATCTTTTCGTATAATTTAGCAATTTCATGGCTTGGTTGTTATTAAAATAATAATAAGTTACAAAATAAGCTTGTCTGATTCTTATTTTGACTTATAAACGGATTAACCTTTTTTGTATCAGACTCGTTTATCATGATAAAAGGGACAATAATTTCGTTATCGAGATTCATCACTCGTACCCGTTACTCAAGCTAGTCTTGGCCGTTGAATTCTGATGCGATTATCAAGTAAAGCTTTCGAATCCGACTTATTTTTTCAACACCGAAATTCTGAAAGCGGTTATTGAACAGGATCAAATATTATATGTTTTTTATATTTGTTATGAAGCTATTTTTTTGTTATGATAGTAAAATGCGAAGTTTCTGCACGTGTTCTTAAATAGCTATGTAACTTCTTCTGAAAAGTGAAACATCTCGATTTAATTTGTTTGAATGTCAAAATATGACTAGTGTTCTACTGACTTTCTAATCGTCGAATTAGAACAACTCTCATGGCAGCCAAAGTTATTTTATTATTAATGAAAATAGGTGAAAATTCACCTGCATGGCAGATTCTTTGTTTTTGTTAGGTACCTATGTACTACCCACTTATGGAACACTTTACATAAGGAATGACGACTGGGTAAAAAGAAAGAAGTTCTATTTAGTCCATCAGTCAGATAATGGAAAAATAGGTAGCTATATTAGATACCTATTTTTTTATTTCACTTTAACAAGATATAGCTTAGATAACAGGCATTAAAATTGTTGAGTGGAGGCTAGCTACGTCACAGTTTTGTAGAAAATGTACAAAAGTGTGACGTCGTGTGACATTTCAAAAAAAAAAAAAATATATGTTGTCAATATTCTTCAATATTCTACCTGACGGACAGGGAAACCAAAATGAGTCGTTTCCCCTTTTCTAACAAAAATAACTTTTGTTGCAAATAGTTTTCTCTAAATACTCTAGATCCACTCTATATCCACTGACGTAGGCTGTTAGTCGTTTTTTTTTCTTTTATTAAATTTAAAAGTACCAGCAGCCTCTACGGCTTGCAATATTTATTCATAGTTGGATATTGTTTCTCTAACTACTACTGAATCTATATATTGATTTCGATAACATATTACATAAATAAACAGTATTTAATAGTTACTATAAGTAATGATTTGTGTTCAATATTAAAAAATATCTTTTTCATATTATAATCTTATTGTAGACAATAATTAAATTGAATAACTGTATAAGACAAATTCCGATAATGCAATTCCTATTATTTATCTTCTTGATAATACTTACGAGCAAATTCTTATAGCTCTGTGCCTAAAAAGTACACGTGATTAATTATTATGTAATAGCACCGAAAATTTGCAAGTTTTACCGCGTTTAATTTTGCTGATACTTAAACAGTTGTAAACAAATCGTTTAGTTGACTTTTAAACCGTTACTTTCAAGCCACATCAAGATATATCTCTTTATTTATTACAAACAAAACGTTAGGTAAAATCGGTGTGCGATTACTTTACTAAATTAAATCATTAATTTGCTATAGAAAAGAAAATGTTAATAACTATTATTTTTATATTTAGTACTAGGTGATCCATGGAATTTCGTACTGCCTCAGAATTAAATAATGTGTCGAAATTCATTAAAATTATTTACTGAACGTCCCTTCATTTATATATCTATCAGCCAGTTGCACAAATGTCCATTAAAATGTTCATTATTTTAAAGCGGCATTATCCAAACAAATTTGACATTCATTAGAGCTTAAAGGCGTTATTTAACCTTAATGGATGTTTATGCAACTGACCGTGTATCTACTCTATTGATATTTTAAAACAGTTTATATTTACGGAAAAAGTTCAGAGTTTTAGTGAACCTGACAAACGTCATATCATTTTTATCCTACTTTATATTGTATACATTCGCAACTCAAGAATTAAACTTCTCAGTCGGAAAGTATGTTTATCTAGTCAGCGAGGTTTACAAGTTCTTTACCGCTCCGTAACATGTAAAGCTTCTAAACGAGAAGCTAGTTAGGCACTTAGGGTACTTAGTACGTTCTCGCGTCTCGACTCATGCATAGTCAGCCAAACGGACGGGACTAAGTATGATTAAGTGGGACCATAATATCACTAACTTAGACTGGAAAATTCGTGCGCTTCTCAACGACCGACCCGAGAATTCAAGCAAGTTTATGGTGGGTGGGATGAGTTGCTCGGCAGTCACTCTCAGTTCATTTAGCCACATTATCATGTCGCTAAAGAAAACGTTTTGTAAATTAGATGGAAACTTGCTTTTGGCTCAATGGCGTTTCATATCTTCATTTTTAAAGTGTTATTGCCATAACAAATTTATGATTATTATTCGTTAGGTAAACGAAAGATATTCAAATTATGACCTTTGTTTATTCTGCATATTTAATTAAGAAATTGACGACTACCAAACAACTTGAATAATAAATAGGTACATTTTGTATTATTAACAAATTATATTCCGTGTTATTTATAAAAGTAATAATAATAATTAAACATTGCTCTCCAGGCTGCTGTAAAATGTGCTTCCTCACCTCGCACTAATGCGCTGTCTACAAAACCGCGGCTACCGCTAGCGGCGTTGGCAGCGGACGCAGCGCGGAATCACCCGCCCAACAACGTCAACTCTCATGTGAGCTTAATACCTATTTATTGTTTCTTTAATTTTTGTTTTGTTATTGGAATGAATGAGTAGCTTTATACTAGTCCCACATTAATCATAATGATCATAAAGACTTGTTACTATAACATTATGCCTGTCAAACACGAAACGTACTATAAATATAGAATATAAATAATATTGTAGTACAAATCCTTACAAAGAACCTTTATTCAAGTAGCTATCCTAAGGTTCCCATGAGAACAGCCATAATTATGATTACCAATTTTGGCGGACTTAGCTTGTCATATATTTACACTAAGCTGCTTCGGTGTCATTATAATTCAAAGAGTTGCTTCTCGTTCCAATACCTGTCAAGTCAGACGGTTGTAAGTTGGTTTTTTTTTTATATAATGCATCCAGTTAAAAAGTTTTTAACATGACAAATTTAAAGCCCATCAGATTCATACTCGAAAGTTTATCTATCGTCGCGTCTTGGCTTGGTTATGTTCACTATTCTTAGCCTAAAATTGATATTAATATTCATAGCGTCTGTGTTCGCAAATTGCAACAAAAGCATACCGCGACGCGTTCTCGTACCAAACGTAATGCGCTGGATGATCTCACACGTCTAAATGCAGCGAGGCTAAATCCGTAAGCTATCGGCGTGCCACTTCCGGGCAACGCTTTCTCGCATAAAATATACGCAAACTGCCAGTCAGCTTGTCAACGCGTCTTGCTCGCCTCATCACCGAGTAGGCTGCTAAAACAACAAGCTTGTAATGCGTACCTCCTGTTTACTCATCCCGAACAGTTTACCGATCCATTAACTATAGAACAATGTCGAAAGTATTATGCTATCCTGTAATGATATAGACAAAGAGCTCTTCCATTTGTTATACTATTAATCTATCAGCCACTTGTGATGTTCAGAATACCCCTCCAAGAACAGACAATATTAATTTTAAATCCGATTAAAGTATCGATTATCCTGTATTAAACTAAATTGAGCTTTGTATGATTTTTCTACTTTAGGATTATCGATAAATAAAGATATTACGATTTTAGGGAAGGCACTCACTGTTTCATTCGTGATGGTTGATGCCGCTAGTATTTTAGTTTGCTAATTTTATTTTATAAATAAAAATGTGCATATAATTTTATGATGATATGCATTTTAATGTTGGCTTTGAGTTCTTTTTTATTTTTGGACACCTTTAGTCATTATCAATAGGTATATAATTTAGCCAAATATTAGCATGCTATAAGCGGAAATACATCGAGACATCAATAAAGATTATAATAAAAAATACATATATTCAAATAAACGCATGAATAAGTTCAGAACATAAGAGAATAATCATTAAAATTCACAACTATAACATTTTAATTCAGAGAACACGACGTTCTTTCTTAAAATGTTCGATGAAAGACGCCTTTATAAGTCTGCTGGGAAGAGATCTTTTGTTGATGATAGTGTTTCAGATATTCAAAATGTATGTGTACACTAACAAATTATTTTGATTTTGATACATAAGAAAACTCACAATGCGCAATATCGGTTTCAAATACTTCTCTAGTTATAAAAAAAAATATGATCATTCGTCGGTGATAAAAAATAAAATCATCTTCAATTTCTTGATAGTCAAGACTAATGAACTGTCATTTTTTACTATAAGATACTTTTTATAAGTACGTATATATACTCTTTGTGTTACACCTGTTGATTTACACAATATGTTATAACAACTTAATCGTGTTATTACTACAAACCACTCATGTAACCACACTATTATACTATACTGCTTGACACAGCGTCGAGGACGGTCATTCATGTTTAGTGGATTCATGCTAATTTTTTATGTCAACTGTAACATAGAATGTAGGTAATATGATTTCAAAAGAAACGCCAAATGTAAAACACAAAAATAATGTATGGCCCATCAAGTTGATATTGGCTTGTTTCCAATAACAAGAAAAAAGTAATAAATCTTTTTTTTTAATAGATAATTGTGATTATATTGAGGTAGTTTTTTAATGGTTTCTATTTGTTTTTATAATATCTACACAAACCACTTTATCACCATCAATTTTACCAACACATATAATGATTCGTGTTGTTAGTTCTTATCGATTTTTGTCTTTTTTTATGTAACTAGAGAACGAGACCCAGTATTAACTCCAATATGATGTCCCGCCATTTTATCTCCTTACAAATAAAGTTAGACAATTATGATATTTAATACATTTTTATTACATACAATACCGAAGCATTATAGCGAAATCATTAACTAACACGGGAAAAACGAGAACGATTATAAAGCCTACCGGTATTAAATTTCATGAAGGATCCAATAATTAATCATTTATTTATTATTAAGACTGATTATTAATAATAAATAAATGATTAAGAAATACACATATGATAATTGAAACAATTACATTAAAACTATATCATCATGTTTAAATAAAAACTATGTAAGACTTTGACTGATTAATAATTAAAATAAACTTTTAAGAAAGAGTCATTATTCTATTCCCATTACCAAAATTCACCAACCATCATTGGTAAATCATAAGCATTTCCCAAACTGCCTGTAAAAGCCCGAAATATTGTCTCTTTTTATAAAATTCGGACATTTACCAATTCATGCTGGTAAATCTTAGGATTTATTGAGAAATCTTAAGCTTTACAGTACGTCGGGCTTTTATAGTAACATTTATAATTTGTCTTCATCTTTGGAGATTTAGTTTGTTAAATTAACAACATTGATGATCGAAAATTCCTAGGGAGTATCTAATAATCTTCGAACACATAGCAAAGGGATTATGACAATCGATACTCTGTAGTGAAACTCCATATGAAATAAATGATAATTATTACTCTATTCACGATTTTAACTATGGTATGATTTCTTTTGATGTAATACATTTTTTTCTTAACATATGCAAACACTTTAAACAGTATTTAGAACAAACTGTCTATGTTGTATTAATCCCTGATTGCAGCGAAAGTATACAGTAAAACAAAAGAATCGCAATGCATTCGAAACTAGCAATACTGAGGATAGCCAAAGAGAAATCTCGACGTCATATTAAACTGAGATACGAGAAAATTCAGCGTTCCTAATCTTTTAATACTTTAAAATTAAAAACATTGCATTTTAACAAATAATTCTCTATCGAATCTTAATTAAAAAAGCCAAACTAACAAATTGTTACAATATCTGTGTAAAATCTGTAGATTACGGGGATTGTAAAATTAATTAGCGCGCATGAATTTCGTGAGAGATAATAATCGACTGCGCTGACTTCCTATCGCAACGTGAAATTATTAAACGAGCCAACGCCGAGAGGCAGCCATTCGACGTTTCTGTTCAATATTGGCTGCCATGAAAACTTTATTTGGTTGACACGTTACCGGTGGGTATTTCCCATAAACTGATATCTTGTTAATACATGATATTAGTGATAACTGCATCACAAATATTTGAAAGAAATTCGATGTCTTTGATCCGATATTTGATATAATTTTTTTTACAACTCAGTGTTACTCATAGCATATCGTTGAACAAATAATATTCCCCAAGCTACTAGCGGTACCTACTATTTTGGCGACTGTGCGTTTAACAAAATACTTAGTTTCACATTGCATCCGAAAGGAGCACTTTTGTCGGAATGCGAGCAGCTTACCCTCTATGCTCCCTCGTGTATTTCGATAGTTCGCCGCCAGCCAAGATATGTCGCAATCCCATCCAATTTGCCTTCCGCCGCTCGTACCGCTTGCTCGAATAAAGCGGAAAATCTTGCTCCGACGACGAAAGAATAAATTATGCCGACTTCAATATCAAACGTTCGTATTGAAGGGCGCGTATGCTCGATGTTTACTTACTCGTTCTTTTTCTATCCCGCTTGAGACTTGCATTTTTATTGTAAACCGTAAATTTTATTAGCGACGGTTGATTGATTCCGAAGATAATAAAGCAATAACGGTGATAAATGAAAACATAGATTTTAATCCTTATATATCTTTTACCTAAACTATGGGTATAAAATATTTTCTGTTTTTATTACAAAATTTTAGGCCTAAACATTAGATATAAAACTGTTTATTTAAAAAAAATGTAATCGTAAATTGTCTCTTTCTAAAAATTACTGCCTAAGGGTTTTTAAAAATATCTTTTGCCTTTGGATGTGTACCTACCAAATTTCGACTCAATCCTATGAGGGTTCCGTTGTACCGTAGAATATGAACCCGAGAATAAATGATTCGATAAATAACCAAGTCGATTTTCAAGTACATATATATATTAAAATAATTTTGGGATGAGAATCCTTTCTGTTTAGTGTCTGAATCGAGTATTCGAAGAGGCAATGAGCACGATCGTTTGGCACGCGCTCTGAGCCCGCCGTCTCGCTGCGGTGTCTGCTAATAGCTCTTCGCAGATTCAATTTGCCGTCGAATAGAATATAGCCTCCCTGAGCGCCGTACGCGATCATTAAGTTACGCCCTCGTCTCCAGAACACGGCAAATTCATTCCAAACACCTTACGCAAGAAATTCTTGCTATCTCGGCATAAGTAATTCTAAAGAACTTATTAGCTTTTAAGAAAATTTTCTTGGAAAAAAATATTGTGTTGGACTTAATACATTGCTTTCGACAACATATCCTTATTGTGTACTCTACAGAAAATCTGGCTTACCGCCACAGATCAGACAGCGCCATATGTTTTTTATACCTTGCTTGTACCGATATTGGCGTTTGCTTACCTCTAGTCGTTCTATATTTATTTTAACTGTAGCTTCTTTTTGAGTATAACTATTACGTTAAATGTCTAAAACTTGTTAATAACTGTTGCACAAAATTAGTAATTACGTACGTATTAAGCCTTATTTGCAATTATTCTAAATTAACATAATTTAGTACTCTTAATTAGAGTAATTATTTAGCACTTAACGAAAAATGTAAACAAATATCGAGACAGCATGGTGATATTTCTTGTTTTTTCGTTACCTTTCTCTGTCTTTACTAA